GCAGTTAGACTTATATACCGCTTCCTAGGGCTTTCAGCCCTCTCTAAGCGGTTTACAGATTTTTTTTTTTAGCAAATTGAGTCAGCAACTTGCCCTCACAGTCTGGGGTCCTCATTTCACCCACCTCGGAAGGATGGAAGGCTGAGTCAACCCTGAGCCGGTGAGATTAGAACCGCCGAACTGCAGATAACAGTCAGCTGAAGTAGCCTGCAGTGCCGCATTTAACCACTGCGCCACTTCGGCTCTTATGAACATTTCCTGAAGGAGGGGGAGGAGAGGAATTGGGGCAAAGGGTCCCCTCCCTCTCTCTCTCCCAGTTCATATTATTTACAAAATCCATCCCAAATGGGGGCCAAATGACCCCTCAGCCACCAACGGACTCCTCATTCTCCCGCGCAGCCACTTCCCAGCCTGAGCCCCACCGCAGCTAGCGGAGACCCTCCACGACCCCCGAGCCCAAGCAGATGGGTTCTGCCCCCCCACCCCGGTACCTCTGAATGAGCAGCTCCACCAGGTGCAGGTGCCCGCAGGTGGCGGCTGCGTGCAGGGGGGTCCAGAGCTCGCTGTCGCAGGCGTTGACGTCGGCCCCGGCTTCCAGCAGCAGCCCCACCATCACCCCGTAGTCGTCAATGCAGCACTGGGAAGGAGAGAGGAAGAGCATGGGCACATGGGGGGCGGGGGGCAGGCGGGCAGGGCGGGAAATTCAATTTCTTAAATGGTTCTGTGGGCGTGGCTTGGTGGGCATGGCAGGGGAAGGATACTGCAAAATCCCCATCCCCTCCGCACTCCTGGGGCAGCCAGAGGTGGCATTTGCCGGTTCTCCGAACTACTCAGAATTTCCGCTACCGGTTCTTCGAACTTCTGGAAATTTCCGCTCCGGGTTCTCCAGCACCTGTCGGGACCTGCTGGATTCCACCCCTGAGGAGGGGGCTCCGGAAGGCCCCACCCCTCCCTTCCAGAGGCCTCGTCCCTTGGCTTGGACAGGAGGTCTCCAATGGCTGGCAGGTGGCTGAAGGAGAGCGCCCCCCACCCGAGCCCCCCGGAGCCTCTTCCGACGGCTTCCCACTGCAGCTAGTCCTCGACTTACAACCGTTGGAAATTTGTGGAATTCAGATTCACTTAACAACCACGTTCCTAGCTTAGGTGCTGCAGTGATTCATTTAACAAGGGCGGCAAAATTCGCTTAACAACAGAGCTTGCTTAACAACAGGAATTTGGGGGCTCAATTGTGAGGATTTCCTGCCGTCTCACGATCTGAAAACGGCGTGGAAAAAAGGTGGAACTGGGCCCTTCTGGATATTGGACTTTCCACTCAGGGCCACTTGTGTGTATTAACGCAACACAACTGCAGCACTGCCAAAAGGTTTACAATCCACAACCGAGAGAGCGAAGGGGGGAGATAAAAAAGGTGGCATGTAGGTCCACCCCACAGCCGGAGGGCCTCTCTGCCAGCCTTCTTCCCAAGGTCACTCCTGCATCCCCAAGGACAGGCCCACCACGGGTCTCCCCATAGAATCCATCATCATCATCATCATCATCATCATCATCATCATCATCATCACCATCTTCATTTAACAACCCCAACCATACTCCCTTGTGGGGCGGAGTCTGGGCAATTCAATGGAGCTAGCAGAGTGTTTACTGGCCGGATGCCCTTCCTGTCGCCAATGCGGAGTTTTGTTGGGCAGATCTATTCTCATTGTGCCCGGAGAGAGTAACATCTGCCTCTGCCTAGGATCCAACTCACAGCCTCCTGATGGTGAGGCGAGAGCGCCCCCTGTGGGCCACCGCACCACTGTGTCTCCCCATAGAATTGAAGTTATGAAAAGGGAAGCGTGAGGGGAAGGGCAGAGGGAGGAGACGGGGGGGGGGGAGGAGGAGAGGCCCAGGAAAGGCCCAGGCGCCAGGAGGGAGTCACTCAGGACCACCAAAGAGAGCCCAAAGTCTCCACTGCTGGGCAAGACCCTTGTGAAGTGAGGTCCCCTCTTGCATCTCGTTCCCGAGGGCCTCCCCCACCCCTCCACCCCCGGCCGTGAAGGCAGCCCAGGAGGCAATAGCAATAGCAGTTAGACTTATATACCGCTTCATAGGGCTTTCAGCCCTCTCTAAGCGGTTTACAGA